CCCATCAACGCTTGTGGGATGAAGATTTGGCCCGCCGTGACTCTACTCCATCCTTCCACGTTTCTTGCACAAACTCCCGTTTATTTTTTGCACAGGGGAAAGAGGGGCCATTTCTTAACAGTTTAGGCGGACTGCAGGGTAACATCTCAGGGGTGTTCAAAAAGGGGAGGGGGAGGAAGAAGAAGAGGAGGAGGAGGAGAAGGGGGAATGATACCTACATGGGGGACACCTCTGCATGCACGATTGCAGGAACTGGGTATGTCTAGTTTGATGAAAAGAAGGACTCAGGATGATATGATATCAGTCTTCCAATATTTGAGGAGCTGCCCCAAAGAAGAGGGAGTCAAGCTCTTCTCCAAAGCTCCAGAAGGCAGGACAAGAAGCAATGGGTGGAAACTAATCAGGTGTCAGGTTTTGAGGTCGTCTCAAATAAATTGCATTTCAAACAAAGTCTTTGAAGAAAACTCCCATTTATTAAGCACAACATTCAAAGTCCGACTCCATCGTAGCCAACACTGACTTCCAGATCCAAAACCCTCCCTTTCTGTTCCCCACTCCCCTGCACTCATTGGCCATCTTCCAAATCACTCTGCCCCTAAGCTACTGCTCCAGATCAAAGGAATTTCCCCCCTCCCATCCCATCTCCTAGGGGATATTATCTCCAGGGAAAATAAGTAGGTGAAAAGTCAAACGTCCCTTTCCAGACGCCTCCGCTTCTCCTTCTTATGTCAGCACTAGAGTAATTGCAGTTTGAAGTGCTGACATCAGGTGTTGGTTATTACCTTTAAAGCCCTACATGGCTCAGGGCCAGGTTATCTTCGAGACCGCCTTCTACCACATAACTCCCAGCGACCGGTAAGATCCCACAGAGTCGGACTCCTCCGGGTCCCGTCAGCTAAACAATGCCGGCTGGTGGGCCCGCGGGGGAGGGCCTTCTCTGTGGCTGCCCCAGCTCTCTGGAACCAGTTACCTCCTGAGGTCTGGACCATCCCCACCCTATTGGCCTTCCGAAAAGCGATGAAGACCTGGCTTTTCCGGCAGGCCTGGGGCCGTTGATCTCGCTCTTGTGATCTGGCGAGATCCGGCCGTGAATGGTGTGGAGTGTTTAATGTTTTTAATTTTTAAATGTTTTTTTAATAATGATTTTTTAAAATGTATTGTGAGCCGCCCTGAGTCTTCAGAGAGGGGCGGCATATAAATTGAATAAATTAAATTAAATTAAATTAAATTAAATTAAATTAAATTAAATTAAATTAAATTAAATTAAATTAAATTAAATTAAATTAAATTAATCAAGGAGAGAAGCAACCTAGAACTAAGGAGAAATTTCCTAACAGTGAGGACAATTAACCAGTGGAACAACTTGCCTTTAGAAGTTATGGATGCTCCATCACTGCAGGCTTTTAAGAAGCGATCGGACAGCCATTTGTCTGAAATTGTGTAGGTTCTCCTGCTTGAGAAGGGGTTGGACTAGAAGTCCTCCAAGTTCCCTTCCAACTCTGTTATTCTGTTCTACTCTGTTAAGAGGGAGTCAAGCTATTCTCCAAAGCTCCAGAAGAAAGACTAGAAGCAATGGATGGAAACAAATCAAGAAGAAAAGCAACCTAGAACTAAGGAGAAATTTCCTAACAGTGAGGACAATTAATCAGCGGAATGACTTGCCTTTAGAAGTTATGGATGCTCCATCACTGGAGGCTTTTAAGAAGAGACTGGACAGCCACTTGTCTGGAATGGTATAGGGCCTCCTGCTTGAGCAGAGGGTTGGACTAGAAGTCCTTCAGGGTCCTTTCCAACATTGTTATTCTGTTCTGTTCTGATAGATGATGTAAGATTTAGCTGGTCACCAGAGGCAAAAAAACAACAACAACAAACCAGACATATCTTCCTCTAAGAATGATTCTAAAGGTTGACTTTTAGTTATGGAAGCTACCAGAGATGTGGCTGTTTCTTCCCTTTTCTCCTAACCCTCTTTAGATAGCAGTTCTGTCCCAAACTGGACCAGACAGACAGTTGTGTTGTGCTCCTTGAAAGTGCTGTTGGGTGTGTATAAGAACCTAAAGAAAGGTGATGGCATTTACACAGTCTGTCCTCTAAGTTGGATCACTTAGGAGGGGACAACAGATTGACACAAGCTTGGTGTCAGTGTCCGAAGTCGGAACTTTTCTTGCAGATATTTCATGACCCAACGAGTGGTGGAAGGGAGTGGGGTTTGCAGGGAGGAGGAGGAGGAGGAGGAGGAGGAGGAGGACTGTAGGGTCCTTGGTGCTCTCTGAGCTTGGTGTTTTCTTGCAGAAGTTTCATTACCCAAGTAGGTAACATCATCAGTGCTAGAGGGAAGCGGGGATTGTGCAGAGGAGGAAGGGTAGGGTAGAAGGAGGACTGTTTGGCTGTTTGCATGCAGACATTTCATGACCCAACTAAGGAATATCGTCAAGCGAGGAAGAGGAGTCGTCCTTGGTTTGTCCTGTCAACTACTGTATTTTATTTTATTTTATTTATTTATTTATTTTATTTATATACCGCCCTACTCCCGAAGGACTCAGGGCGGTGAACAGCCACAAGATAAAAATACATCATACAAAAGTTAAAAGCCATTTAAAAGCACAGTAAATAATTTTGGCCCAAAAAACGAATTTAAAAACACCCAATTTGTATAAAAAACTTAAAAGCAAATTAAAAGGGAGAGTCAAGCCAGACCAGACGGCTGGAATAAAAATGTTTTGAGGGCGCGACGGAAAATGCGTAAATCTGGGATCCTCCGTATCTCCGGGTGGGCGGAGCTCATTCCAGATGGCAGGTGCCCCCACAGAGAAGGCTCTCCCCCTGGGGGCCGCCAGTCGACACTGTTTGGCCGATGGCACCCTGAGGAGCCCCTCTCTATGGGAGCGTACTGGTCGGTGAGAGGCTACTGGTGGCAGAAGGCGGTCTCGTAAGTATCCTGGTCCTAAGCCATGGAGCGCTCTAAAGGTGGTGACCAAATGTATATTCAAACGGAGAGCAAAATCAACTCTCTTCCAGCAACTGATGAAAATACCTAATTGGGTCCTGAAACGTCTAACAAGTAAACTACCCAATTCAGAAACACACACATCAAGGATACCCCACCCCCACCCATATTTCAACCCTGAGCTACAAATATGCTCTTTCCATTGGGGTGACTTGAGAGTGGGGGGGGCATCCCAGGTTGCCATATGCAAATCCAGAAACGTTGAGCAAATCTTCCCCCCCCCCAAGTTTTATTTGTTTTATTTATATAACATTCAATTTCCATCAAGCAGTGTGTGTTCTGGGTACAATTGTGTTTAAATAGTCACTTTTATACATCTTTGTTGGGATAAGTCATCACCATCATATTAATAATATAACAATATAATAACATTAATACTTAACATTTAACCTCCTCGTTTTTATCAACTGTCCTCTATCCCCATTTCCTCCATTTGTGTCTCCTCCTTCCTAACTTCTGTTTCTGTTATCTAGCCATTGAGAGAATATGTCCCATATCAAAAAAAATATTCAGTGTCTTCTTTATCCTTAACAGCAAGTGTTAATCTATCCATTTCTGCACCTTCTAATATTTTTTAAAATTACATTCCCCTCAAGCAAATCTTGCGGAGCTACAGAAGGAGGAAGACTCAAAAAAAAAAGAGGAGAGAATTCAGATTAGAATCTGAGGAGTCCTTGGTACTCTTTGAGCTTGGTCATTGGGACCTTTTAGGACCCAAACAAGGTAACAACATCATTGCACAATCCTCCTCCTCCTCCCTTTCAACTCTGATGATGTTACCTACTTGGGTCTTGAAACGTCTGCAAGAAAACAGCCAAGCTCAGAGAGCACCAAGGACCCTGCTTTTCAATCTTGAGCTCCCAATATTCTCCTCTATTCAAATTAGAATCTGTTTGGAATTCAATCAGGGGCGAAATCCAGCAGGTTCTGACAGGTTCTGGAGAACCGGTAGCGGAAATTTTGAGCAGTTCGGAGAACCGGTAGCGGAAATTTTGAGCAGTTCAGAGAACCAGCAAATATCACCTCTGGCTGTCCCCAGAGTGGGATGGAAATGGAGATTTTGCAGTATCCTTCCCCTGCCACGCCCACCAAGCCACACCACGCCCACCAAGCCATTCCCACAGAACTGGGTAGTCCAAAAAAAAAAATTGGATTTCAACCACTGAATTCAACCAATTGGATTGAGAATTGGGGAGTCTTAACGTTGGGCTGCTTTGATGTACCTTCACGGTGGCTTCCCCCAATTCAGAAAGTCAACAAACACCCCCAAAAACAAACTTTCTCATTTATAAAATAGATAAGGAGACTGAAATAACTCTTGATTTGGGAACCTCAAAGTGAGAGGAACTTTGCTCAGCTCTTTTGAGGACCGAGTTCTAAATTCGCTCCTTAAACAGAAAAAGAGACGTGGGAGGGGGTTTCCTTTCCCAGCCGTCCCCCCCCCAGACCAAAAATCCTTGGATCTGCCGATGGCATCCTGGACAACCTGTCCAGGTTGGTTCCCCCGCCCCTCTCCCTCCATCCTGGTGAGTCTGTGCCATTTTGCCAAACTTCAACTCAGTCTCTGTTTTCCACCCAGGCGGAAATTCGCTTTTCAATTTCTCTTACCCCCGCCCCCCGCCCCCAGGCTGCCCCTCCCTTTTCGATGCCCCCCTGCTTTTAGATCAAAGGTTTTTTTCTTTTTCTTTTCTGTTCTTTTCTGTTCTTTTTTCTTTTCTTTCTTTTTCTTTTCTTTCTCTTTTTCTGTTCTTTTTTTCCTTTCTCTTTTCTTTTCTTCTTCTTCTTCTTCTTCTTCTTCTTCTTCTTCTTCTTCTTCTTCTTTCTTCTTCTTCTTCTTCTTCTTCTTCTTTCTTCTGCTTCTGCTTTTTTCACCGCCCAATCAGGTCGGTCAGATCAGGAATGGGGTGGCAAAGAGTGGGGGTGGGGGTGAGAGGGAAGTATACGCGTTCCCCATAGAACAACACAATTATTTCGGCTCCATTGGACAAGTATG